GTCACGTAAGATGAATGTGGTTCATATACATGCACCTATAAATTGCAAGCTTTTAGCCAACACCCACACAGACACACACAGATACCCACAAGCATACAGCAAGCACACAAATCCCATTAGCTGAGGTGACCTTGAGCAGGATAATGAAAATACAAATTAGCTTCCTACCCTTTACCCTTCATTCCCCCACCCCTTGATTTATTTAATGCCGGTAAAGCTTACACTGGTTTCTCAGAGAGGGGAAGAGACTGGTGCTTTTATTGGATTCAGCTTTCCTTAGTGGTCTCTGATAAACAATGAAGTCCGACTCTTCATGGTCATCAAAGCATAAGTGACCTTGGGGACATTTCCTACTAAAGTATGCTTGACTCTGAGAAATAGTCCAGTTTGACCGTTACTGAAAATCTGCTTCCCTGCCTGCAGCGTCAACAATCTCATCAAGAAATTACAGCCTGCTCTTGACATGAGCCCCAAACTGAGTCACACTTAGAGCAGTGCAATCTGCCCAGTGACAGCTGGACTTTAAATAGTATTAGAGAAAAATATTATTGTATTGTATTGTACTATTAAGGTATAATATTTTCATTTTACAATTTTTTGGTATTTTATTTTTATGCTGTAATATCAGACATAAATCCCCTTTTTTGCCTCACTACACACTGAAAGGTGAACAAAACAGAAACAAGGAAACAAACTTTGCAGACTACAGAACCATCTGCTTGAAATGCTGAAGGAGGCTCATGCCTGTCTGGAGTACAAACCCACTGGGACATCGGGGCTTGGGCAAAAGACAGCCTTGTTGGAAAGATCTTCAATTCCAGGCATTAGGATATGACATTTTGAAACTGCTGAGCATTAAACCACCTGCAGTGAACTGGAATCTGTTGCTGGGTCTCATTAGAGATCAGATTCTTTTTTCTTGTAAATCTTGATAAACACCTTAATAACAGTATGATACAAGTTTTAATAACAATGTCATAGAAGGTTTGATACACACCCTTAATAACAATATGAACTTTCAAAGCGCTTCATTTATATTCTAAAGCTGAAATATTGTCTGAGATTAAATTTACTTAGAGCAAAAGGTAAATTTGATTCTCACTTTTACATTTTAGTGCTTTTTTTTTTTTTTTTTAGATTTTTTTTAAGTGATGTACAATAGAAGCAAAACTTACAATTAGAGATGGCACAATACCACCTTTTCCTTTTCAATACCAATACTGATACTGAAACCTTCAGTATACACATCCAATATTGTTTTCTTTAACAGCTACTAGGTTTTAAAATGTGTTTTTTTAATTGTCGCACTTCACGGTTCATCAATTTAAAAAAAAAAAACACACATTCCTATTCCAAATGTTTCTGCATTTAACATTTTTAACTGTCAGACAGTGAACACTTACACAATGTTGTTTTCGTGTACTAGGAACATTGTGTGAGGAATATTCTAAGAACATTATGAAGCAAATCACTGTTATAGCAGATCTTTTGAGAACATTATAGAAATGTTAAAAAAATAACAAATACTTACGGTAATTGAATCCACTGATAATGTTCTCTGTTATCTGGAGTGCATCTTCATTTTCACTCGACTTTCTAATTGCACTAGTTGGATACATGACTGCATCTAATATCAGAAAATAATAAAATAAGATCTTATATTTTTTATGTGCCATATGTGTCATTACTGCCAGATCAAGAAATAGATTGAATACAATACGTTAATATTACTCAGTGAACGTGATCGTGATGAGATATTGTCCATATGCAGGATATGCATATGAGCTGATTGTCCTTCCCTAAAGCATGCATATGCTGCCTGGTGATTGACTGTGTGATGAATAACACAAATTAAAACAGCTCATGCACGAAAAACAAATATGGGCATTTTATGTGTGATGTGGTTTGAAATATGAGAGACACAATATATTGGCACTATGCCAGAGTGAAGTCTGTGTAAAGCATCATCCTTCTGTATGTGAAAGCCTGTAAACTAATACATATTGATCGTTTAACTATAATGAGCAAAATCATCTATAAAAACTTGAAATGAATTATTTGGCCATTAATTAGAATACCTATAGACTTACTCAGTGTGAGAGAAAAAAAAAGGCTAGACAATCCACAGCAGCACTCATTTTATACGATTCCCTAGGGATCCTTCCTCTGGTCTGTGCACAAAGCTGCATTCATTACATAATGATGAACCATTAGCTTTTCAATCACGTTTGATTGATTCGCTTTCAAATTACACAATGACAATTAGCCAATTTTATTCACAGGGAGTGAACTGCAGCCTTCAGTGCTGTCCCTGCAATGCAGTACCACCAAGCTGGCTTCTAACAGCTCAAAATTCTTGTAGTTCATGCTGCATATTGTCTGAAGCAATTTATATTGCTGACTACAGATTCATTAAAATGATCAGCAAAGCAAATAACGTTTTTTTTCCCAGTGAATAATTTTGTGGGACTGTACATCTCTGAAGCTCAAAAAATCCCATCACAGATTAAAAATACATTCTTTGGTGCAGAACTTGTACCGAATTTTATGCAAACAGTTATGTCTAATATCAGCCTGTTAAACCGCTGCCTGTAAATGCCCATATTACAAGCTGCCCTTGATTAGCCAGCAGTAGTCCATTTAGCTTGAGAGAAGAACATCAATTGGAAGTGCTCCAAAAAGTCATTTTGCTATTCCCTGTCTTAAATTAATTTCAAGCATTTTGTTATGCACAGATTTTTTACAGTGTAAAATTGCAGCTTGGTGCACAGCCTTTGCAAACAAGCAAACATTTTGTTTCAGACAAAGCTGTGAAATTCTATTATTAACAATCAAAAAGAATATGGCACAACTACAGCTCTCTCTAGAGTTAGGGAGGATGTCCACATGTGCAATTAACCATATCAAGAGAAAATAAAAATGCTAGCTAAACTCAAATAATATTTCATGCGATGCAAGGAGAGAACACATCAAGAGACTTGAGACTGGGGTGTAGGTTCACTGTCCAACAGGACAACAACCCTAAGCATACAGACGAAGCTACAGTGGATTGGTTCAAAACCAAGAACTCAAATGTGTTAGAAAGGCCCATTCACGGCCAAGACCTCAAACCGACTGAGAATCCGTGGCATGACTTGAAAATTGCTGATCACCACAACAAATCAAATCTGATGGAGCTTCAGCAATTTTGCCAAGAAGATCCAGGTGTGAAAAGCTGATAGAGACATGTCCCAAAAGACCTGCAGCTGTAAGCTGAATACTTAAGCAACCAACAAATGTCTACTTTTTTTATTCTCCTATTTAAAAATCCACCCCAAAAAAATCCAGGTTGTAACACAACAAAATGTGGAAAAATTATATTATACTGTATTATATACAACATATGGCCAAAGTTTTGCTTGATGAACATCCCATTCCAAAGTTGGTCCCCACTTTGCTGCCATAACTCTACTCTTTTGGGAATGCGTTCCACTAGATTTTTCAAAGTGGCTGTGGGAATTGCTGCCAGTGTAGAGAAAACATTAAACTACAGCATACAAAGTCATCCTATACAAGTGTGCTTACAACTTTGTGGCAACAGTTTGGAGAGGCCCACATATGAGTGTGACAGGCATGTGTCCCCATACTTTTGGCTATATTGTGTATATACAGTACATTGGTAGAGAAATAATAAATTTATTAGCTAGTCCACTGGGCAAGTGAAAACTCCATTATGCTGCCCAGTCTTGTCTTTTGGTTGCCTTAACTGACTAGGCTACGAAGTGGTAGCTAATGTAATAACATATGGCCAGTTAGTTAGCCAATTAAGTATGTTAAAATAGATTAAGGTAAACAAAAATATTATATGATATATGATATATATGATATTTACAAATAAGTATGCAAATGTAATTTGCATTTAATTTAAATCTGAAGCATAAGTAAACTGTCTGTCACAACAACCTACGTGCATGTTTAAGATAAATAATTTAAAACTACAGCACTACAACATCTACAGTACTTAGAACTTAGAGTTTTGCTTATACCTACTGTTTACCTGCATTAATGTGTGATTCAAATGTGTGATCTTTTTTCATTAGTCATCCATTATTTGTTATTTAAAATGTGCATTTGTAGTTTTGTGTCCCACTGCACTCACTCACGCTGTTACTTGAACACAGGTCACACCCGTGACTAGGAGGTTTTCAGTACAGAGCAGGCAAAAGAACTTAGGGACTATTTACAAAGACCATCTGCCATGTACTATTGACTCAACCCCAAAGATTAGTGATTTTTTTTTTAATGAGGCTTACTGTGTATCTAAACTATGTTTACTAAGATTTGTTTAATACATTTGCAGTTAAAAACCTGTAAGGAACATATAATAGTCATTTCATTTCAAACAAATAACAAACACACAAATAATCATGAGTCATGGCTAAATATATTTTTTAAAAATCCATGTGACTTTAAATTTTCACATTTTTAGGTCTGAAAGCTTGCATTCCAATGTACATTACAATTTAATTGAAAGTACTCTGAGTTATATTAGTCTGAGAAGGCAAGAAAACACTGGATAACATCATTCCTTCATCATTCCTTCAGTCACAATACAATACAAAAATTGCCATGTCAGTGCTCTTATATATATAACTAAATATTATATATAAGAATGCTACTAATAATAATGCTTTTATATATATATACATATATATATATATATATATATATATATATATATATATATATATATATGTATATAAATTATAATTATATTATTAATTGTTATTTGTTAACCTGTTATTAATGATAAGCTCTAGTTCCCTTCCAGCATATGTCATTTGTCTACTTTGGATAAAATAATCATTTGAGAGTGAAGTGACTTGTGGCCAAGTATGGCAACCTATACTTGGAATTTGTGCTCTAGAGCAGTTGGGGGTTTGGTACCTTGCTCAAGGGTCTCACTTCAGTCATGGTATTGAGGGTGGTGCTGGTCATTTGCTCCCCCCACTTATGATCCCTGCTGGACCTGAGACTCAAACCCACAACCTTCAGATTACAAGTCCAACTCCCTAACCTTTAGGCCACAACTGCCCCCAAACTCATCAGTGTTTATCACTCTTGTCAGTATTCATGTATGGGTTGATGCATATATGTAAACCCAGTTAGGTTGTAGCTATATGTGTGTCATAAAATCTTAATTGTATTTGATTAATTCTTTTTAAAAACCAGTGTATCAGTGTTTTACATCAAGTGTTATAACTAATCCTCTGGATGTTATGCCATGAACCCCACATATGAGGTAAGTTGTAACATTTCACTTCTTCACTTTGGCTTGAGTAGAAGGTGCTGGAAACAAAGTTTCATTTGTAGCAGAGATGCGGATAGAAATGTTACTTACACAAAATCAGATATTACTTTGCTTTGTCAGTCACAAACAGCCTCTCAGTAAAAGACTCCACTTCGAGTCCATTTTTTTGTAGATGTATGCAAAACTCTAACTCCTGCAGTGTAATTTAATTTTAAAATATGAAACCTGTTTTCAGCATCTGAATGGTGAGACATGTGTATGACTCTCAGCTCTGTGTGTGTGTGTGTGTGTGTGTGTGTGTGTGTGTATCAGCTGCAGAGAGATGATCAGATATCAGAATAAATAGAGCAAATCTTCTTAATGAAGTACAAACACAGCAGGCAGGATGACATTAATGTGAGGATGCTTACTGTATTACTGTCAGTGCACAATTGTAGTGCCTAATAGCTGATTTTGCGTATAAAATGTATTGCAAAACAATTTTATTTGCTTATTAGCAAGTAATTAAAGTGAGATGAGTAAAATAAATAACAGTCACTGTACAAAATGTTGAAGACTTCATCTCTTTTAGAAAACTGGTGCTGAGCCGAAAGAGTCGGCTCTTAATGGTGAGCCCTAAATGACTCAGTGAAAAGAGCCGGAGTTGCCAGCACTCAGCACTCAGCACTCAGTACCCGACCGCCTGGTCTCTACTGGCTAAAAGTCATGACCGAAACTGGTTGCCATGAATTTGGCCCGTGCTAGTGATGATTTGTTTTCTGAAATGCGATCTTCGCTCAATTCAACATCCAACAACAATGAAAACAGTATAGGCTATTTAAAAGTGCAAGCCCTATGCCTTAAGCATGCGTTATTTGAGGGGGAAGAGGGTGGATTATGGAATATGGGAATATATCTGCCCATAATATTAGCTGTTCAAATACTGTTATTTGTACACACCTATTCACAGAATATCCTGTGTATGATATGTGCTCATTATTAGTATACTTCAGTAATATAAACGACATATTGCACTGAATCAAACAAATTGCAAACAATTCAGATAGTGGAGATAAATACTTCAGGGTTTTGTTGAGATATTTGGTGCGCGTGTTGAAAAATATTAATTTATATTTAAAAAAAAGGCAAATGTGTCTTTTTATGGGTTTTATGTAGTTTACTACTGCCACCTGCTGCTCATAAAAGATACCTTCGTCTATAAAAAATATCGCAGCTTATTATTATTATTATTATTATTATTATTATTATTATTATTAATGCAGGGTTTTACAAATGTTTTCATTTTAATTTATTTTGATGAGCTTACCCAGACACACTTACAACAGCAAATGAAAAAGCACATACTAGCTAAACAAATAAAATTATCGCGAACAAATAAAAATATATTATTATTATTATTATTATTATTATTATTATTATTATTATTATTATATAGTAAATGTTGTAGCTACAAGCGTATAACTCTTCTTGATTCCTCCACTCACTTGGACTCCAAATTTTCCAAATAAGAATGAAAAATACATCACATCAGTTAATGTGAATTAAACTGAACAGAGACTGAAACTAAACTGTAAATGCCGGCTTTTACAACAAAATCTAATGATACATAATTAATGGAGGAAAAAAGGTTTTGTTTTTAGGGAATGAGTGCTATGTTTAATATTGAATTCACCATTAATGTTCCAGTGGTGTCTGTGATGAACTGGTGTATCCCACTACTATTAAATATACAGTATACATTAAAGATAGGCCTCTGTAAATTCAGACTATAGCCTTTACACCTGTTGCACAATTTGTCAGCCTCCTGTGATATGACAGTGACGTGGTAGCCTGTCTTGCACAGGAATGAGTGTATCAGGCACAGCATCAGTTCTGGGTTTTACCCCGAACCTCAGTGTCACTGCTCCAATGACCATCACCCAACAGTATGCCAACCACCATTTTGTCAGAAATAACACTGATGAAGGTTTAGAAGACAATGTAAATTGAAAGATAAAACATAATCTCTAAATTTACGTGCCAACAAGGATATGCAGTGTCCACTAGGATGCCACTACCTTGCCAGTATCACTGTTGTGCTGAAAATGATCCCTCACTCAAATCATCTGGTCATTGGTCCTATGGTGGCCTTTCCAATGATGTATGAGGTGGATGGGGGTTGACAAATTCTGCATACAACAAATTGACTACAGTCAGTAATTGCATACCTACAAAGTGCATCTATGTGGTAGGTGTACCTGACAATATAGTACTGTGTTTACTTGAATGCGGGATTCTGATTGGTCAGAAGGTGTTAATAAATTTTCTGTAACAGTATAGCATGGACAGTAGTTTCAGCTGCAAGATTTATATTGACAAGCTTGTTCTAACATGTTATTGTTTCTATAGTAACAACTTACACAGGGACTCTGCATTAACAGATTAAAAACGAGTGTAACTGTTGATATGATGGCATTTTCTGTGAGATGTTTATTTAGGATTTTGGGAAGGAGTTTCCAGTGCCAGTACTTTATAAGAGTCAGTAAAACTTTCTTTCTTTCTTTGAATGTTTTCAGGATGGTTTCTCTGTAACATGACAAGCTGCATTAGCTTCACAAGAGATTATAACTGCTATAACGTAAGTGATAACAGGAGCTAACTTACACTATATGGCCAAAGGTTTGTGGACACTTGACCAAAATGCTCGTATTTGCATTTTGCACATCCCATTTCAGATTTAGTCCCCCTATGCTGTTATAAAAAACTTTCACTCTTCTGGGAAGGCTTTCCACTAGATTTTAGAGTGTGGCTGTGGGGATTTGACCATTCAGCCACAAGAGCATTAATGAGGTCAGGCCCTGATGTCGGGCAAGAAAGCCTGGTGCACGGTTGTTATTCCAGTTCATCTCAAATGTGTTGATTAGGGTTGAGGTCAGGGCTCTGTGCAGGACACTCAGGTTCTTCCACTCCACCCTTGGCAAACCATGTCTTCATGGACATTACTTTGTGCACAGGGGCATTGTCATGCTGGAACAGGTTTGGGCCTCTTCATTCCACTGAAAAGAAATTGTAATTCTACAGCATACAAAGACTTCCTATACAATTTTGCACTTCTAACTTTGTGACAACAGTTTGGGGAAGAACCACATATGGGACTGATGGTCAGGTGTCCACAAACTTTTGGCCAGATAGTGTATTTAATGGATGTTTCTCAACGTTAGATGTACCTGTAAATGGATAAAAAAAAATGATTAATATGATTAAAAAGAAATCATAAATGCAATAAAACATGGCAGGAGAATAATCAAGTACGTGGTGATGTTATGTGGCCCAACTCATAGCTATTACACAAATATGCATTCTTACATGATAAGACTACTCATAAACATATAAATGCATTGTTTACTTGTTGTTTACTTGTTTACTTGTTTACATTGCTTACCTACCATCCATCCAGAAAAAATGTAAACACTTTATGTGGGCAATAGAAGTATAAAACGTTAAGCAAACACCTAAACACCTGTAGGCCAAACTTTGTTCAGGACAAAGGCGTGGCTTTCACGTGTCGTGACGTCATTTCAAGGCGGGGCTACCAAACAGGTGTCCACTCTACAGGAGTGAGAGAAAGAAATACGCGCTGCTGAAAGACGCACGAGCTCCGGGGTTTTTCACATGCGGCGGTAGTGTGCGCCATGGTGCCGCGGTGCATCGGGGGCTGCGTGCCCTTATTCGTGCTTGGCGTGGTTTTTGACGTGGTCGGCTTGATTGTGCTGCTCGTCGGTGCTCTCGCCAACCTGCGCCTGGACGGCCGCTTTTACGGCGACTTTCTCATCTACACGGGCTCCATCGTGGTGTTCCTGAGCCTCGTGTGGTGGGTGCTGTGGTACACAGGGACCGCTAAGATCCCCTCGGACGAGCTGCAGAAAAACAGGCTGGACCACTTGGCGCTGTGGGCGCGCAGATTGTCCAGGAGGCTTTCGCACACAGGAGCCAAATCCGTGGAGGTGGGAGAGAAGAACAAGAGCGTCGATGCTCAAGAGCTGATGAATGGGTCCGTGCCTGTGTACATTCACATTCCCACCAGGACGGCGTGGCAGATCTCGGGCATGGAGGGTTACTACAACGCAGCTTTCGAGAGCAGTGTTGACATGCCAACACCAAGTGAGAAAACAGTCGAGCTGGATATTCTGAGAAACGGACGAATAGAGAGACTTCTCTGATCAACAGTACTTCATCTGAAACATTCTGCAGTTTTACTGGTTCCCTCTGTGCTTCTCTGGTGGAGCTTTATAGTCTTGTTCTGTAGGTTTTTCTCCTTCAGACAGTAGCAGATGTTTGGATCCAGGCAGATGACCTGCTTTGGCCTTTTCTATACCCTTCAGCACTACATATGATCTGTTCCACAAGAGTGGTTTCTGTTTACTAAGCACTTTTATAGTTGTATGCACATACATCAGAATGATTTCTGGATCTTATTAATGTATATCCGGACTTGAACTTGAGTGTACTGAAGTTTTGATCTCAAGGCGTATCTTGTTTATGTCCATCATATCCCTGTCAAAAGGGTAATCATCTTATTTGTTTCATGGAAACTTACAAATGCATGGACACATTGTCCTCAGCTGAAAAAGGCAAACATGCTGGGGAAGTGACACGGTAACCAAAGTTATAGGTTTAGCTTGTCATGATGTATTTAAGACTTAAGATTAACTACACTTCCTTCACAATGTTTTGGATTGCATTTAGGGAGCTTACACTCTGAAGAAAAAAAAGGATACTGAACTGTACCTTTCCTTGTCGCTGG